TTAAATAGTATAAGGTAGGATTAGATAGCAAAATATAGAAAAGGGATATTATGTGTCGATTTGTTTAAATCTAGAGTAAATTTCAAAATGTGTAATTCTTTAATATTTTTTGCGATATAACCAAAAAACCATATTGTCTTTCGGCTAGAATTACATAAATAAAATAATAAAAACAATTCCTTTTTCAATATTTTTTTTGAGACAGTCCCGTAAGTAATCCTAAAAAATACTAATTCTTAACATGTCAAGCTTTTGATGCATTGGACTAGAGAAAAATAAGTATTTGTATAGAATAGTAAAAATATTATTTAAAAGAAAAGAAACATTCTTTGCTTTAGTTTATTTTTGCTTTTTTCATGGACCAAAGAAAGTCGGTATTCGGAAAAAAATAGTATATTGTTTTATTAGGAGTAAAATTGACACTTTCTGTGGCGAAGTTGTATGTTTGGCGGACTGACGGACTAGCTATAGCAAGTTCGACATACAGCCGAAAGTCATTTTTACTCCCAGTAGAACATGCTGTTTTTTTTCAAACACCACAAATATGCTTTTAAACAATTTCAAATGTTCCAAATAATATAAAAAGGTTTAAAAATCATATCTTGTATGTAATTATATATCGAGAAACTATAGTTACGCTCGTTGAATTTGACAGTTTATGTCAGTTTAATAATTTATTTTTGTACTTTTATGCTTAGGCGTAAAAGTACAAATGATTTTTTTATATTGTCAATCGCGTCTCAAAAATGAATACTTTTGTAACATTTGAAAAATTTTTTTTTCAAATTTATGGTCAAATGATAAAAAAAAATTGCCATAATTGGGATACGTTCCTCTTTTTCTAATGCCCTTGCTGCAATTTTTTAAAAAGGTATTATTTTAAATTGACGCAACGACAATTGACATACAAAAACGAAATATTTTGGAAGGAAATAAGCAAAATGGCTAAGGAAATCCTTATGGAAAAAAGAAGAGGGGAAAGTTAGATCCCTATAGGTCCAAACCAGCTACATAGAACATAACATCTCCATACAACCCTTCTTCTGAAGTAATGCTACCGCGTTTCCAGAAGGAGACACACAAAGGTTCTGAGGTTTTTTTTAGTCACTACGAGTATCACTACTTGGGTCATCTTCTCAAGTGCTCATGTTGCTTTTTTTCTTTCAAAAAAAAAATTATCCATATTGTTTGGATTTTGGTTCTAGGCACTGTTGGTTTAATTTGAAATTATACCACTAAATAAATAAATATTAAATAAATAAATGCCTTTATTGTCAAAAAATTTTACAATTTGTAGACAAAGGTAAAGTAAACGAACAAAGTAAACAAACAAACAAACAAAAGAGAATACAAAACGTTATACAAATTAGGTATATTGTCAGTCTTATTGTTTAAAATAAACATTTATAAATATTTACAATGTCAAAGAATAAAAAAATAAATATAAGATTCAAAAATATTTAGTAAGTTTATATTAAATATCAATGACCTCTAAATAAATGTATTTCGATATCATTGGTAAATATAGTAATAGCGAATAATATTAGACCAGTGTTTACAAGATCAAATTCGATTATCAAAATATAAGTCATTTACGGCGTAGAAAGCCTTGTCAAAAACAAAAAAATGAGGTTATGGATTTGATTTCAAATGGCAGGTGATTGTGCATTTTTTTCGAGTTGTATGATATTGAACTTTTAACTAACTCTGAGCGTGGGGTAGTTAGATAAAGATATTGCTCCGCGTTCCTGAGTAGATAAGTGTGAGATGGTCTTTATTGAGAAGCTGATACATGCTTACGTATTAGGCAAACGGATTCAAATATAAATAAGGAAGGAAGAGTTAATATTTTTAATTTTTTAAAAAAGTCTTCTGGAGCTTAAAAATGCGGTCAAATTGAGTCGCACAACACGTACCCCAGAATGGAAGGGCATATCTGAGGTGCGACTCAAAAGTGCATAATAAACAGTCCTAGCCACTGATAAGTTAAGCTCTTTAGAAACAGATCTTAATGCAAAACAGGCAGAGCTTAATTTTTTCGACAAAGCGTTGATATGCATGCCCCATTTCAGAGAATTGTCTACCCTAAGAATTTTACAGATTTTACGACGTCAATAGTGGTGTTGTTAAGTACAAAAAGCTTGTTTTGTCTAAGTTAACGATTCGCCAATTTTTATTTTAGCCATCATTAGAAAATCGAAATTTTTATCGAACTCCTTATGTTAAGAGTTTAAGAATATAGTAATGGTATAATTTCAAATAAATAAAAATCGGACTAGTACAATGAATATATTTATATAATATATGTATTATATTTTCATATATTTATATTTCATTATACCGGCATCAGAAACATTCAAGTGTTTTTAAGTTCACATAAACATTTGTAATAGCCAATTTGTTTGTGTCAACGAGAAACGCTGAATACACAGATGTTTGCAAAAAAAGGTGCCTCAATAAATCTAAAAAAATACAAATAGAAACATCTCTCGATATGAAATATAGTTACTATTTTACACTTTTTATCAGCACCCTTTTTCCGATGCATTCGGCTCCGTGCAAAAGCCATAAATTTTGCGAAGTACATTGACTTCTGTTCATGAAAATCGTCAATTTTCGATAGTCTCTCTGACCCGTCAGACGGCCGGGTGTGCATGTATCATTGTCATTTGTTTTCTTCGTGGAATTTCCATAAAATGCAGGTTCTCGTCCCGAGCTAGATAATACTTTTATTCCTTAGGTGTATCGGAATTTTTCACTATTACGTGTTCGAAATTTCAAATTTCCAGTTTTGACACTGAAGTATGGCAATCGTAAGCTATGGGTTTACATTTGATCTCTTTTTGTCCTTATTGGTTTGTGATATAGTAGGTAGAGTTATAGTAGAAGGTTTAGTTCGGAATTATACTGCGTGATCTTTGACTTTGTTATACGTATTGGGATATTTATTCTGAGAAATTTTACTGTAAGTAGCAATTATACATATCGTCGGTGAAATGTGATAAACTGCTAACTCCATTATTTCTAATTTTACAGGAGAGCAAAAAAACGATACAAACAAATATGTCCACATGTAGGAAGTATTTTCATGCGTTAATATGATAAAAAGATAAGAATTTTATTTGCTGGGGAACAATAAAACTCAATATTTCGTGTTACATAATTTTTTTCAGACACAATAGGGAGATAACAGATATTCGTCTTGCAGAAATAAGAAATAAAAATATACCTCTGGAGATAGCAACCTTTATTGTTTGAAATTTTGAAAATGGAATTGAATATTACCCAAACAGATTTAGAAATAATTAATTAAATTTAAAAAAATATGATCTTCATAACCATGCATATTTAGAATATCGTCGGTCTAAAAGCAAAACGTACAAGTCCAAAAACGAATAAATTTTTAATGCATATTTAAAGAACTGATTTTTTGCAGCAGCATTTTAAAGCAAAAAAATCCAAATTTTCAAAAAAAAAATTCGCGCAAAAAAACTCATTGATCGTGTTTCTACTACCTATATACTACCCCTAAAAATATTTGCACTTATTTAAGACTCACCCTGTATAATAGGAAAAAATTGACCAAAACGTAAGGCGAAAAAATACACAAAAAATCCACACGGGCCCCTCCTTACATGGCCACCCGGGCCCCTTTGGCCTAGTGCGACCCTGGATCGGCATACTGTACTAAAGAAACATACGAATAAGAATCCGGGTGTTTGCTTTAGCGTGAACGTAACGGAAATTGCGGAGATAGCAGCATTTCGGTGGCTATTTCAGATCATTAAAATAGCAAATTTTCTTTAATGGGAAAAAATGTATTTGCTTTCCCTACTTATACAGTATTTTTTCTCTTTCTAATGGTATAAAAAACTTATTAACGTAAAAAATGGAGTTAGCAGGTTATCACGTTTCACTGACGATATATAAAATTTTGACATTAAAATGCGAATGATAATGATGAAAAACCACGCCATGAATTGTGATTATACACTAGAAAATAAATAAAATGTAAATAATTCATCATCATCATCATTTTCAGCTTATTGAACCATTTGAAATTATGGCGTAGACCCCTCACATACGCTCTTTGTAGTTGGGCCCATTGTTGTATATTATTGGCTATGCGGGCCCAAGTTATCCCTGCTAGAAGTTGGTCAAAGAATGCCTAGAGAAACTCAACAAATTAGTCAAAGAAAATAAAGTCCTCCTACTCTGGGTGCCTGCTCACCAATGGATGGAAGGCAACGAAAAAGCAAATGATCTAGCTAGAAAAGAAGCGAACACTCCACTAACTGGACCAGAACCGTTCTGTTTTCCAAACGGGAACCAACTGAAAGCGAAACTGAAGAATCTGGAAGACTCCATCCGTAACTTGGAATGGGCGTCCTCCAAAGGTCTAAGACACTCGAAAAAGTTCTTCAGGACCAAGAAAAATCAAAGGTTTTCCTTGATTTAAGTAAAAACAAACTTCGGATTGTCACGGGGTTTCTAACAGGACACTGTCTCCTCAACTCGGTAGGCTGAAACTGAGAAACAACGGCGAATGCAGATTTTGTGGGGAAAATGGGGAAACACCAGAACACCTTATCACTGAGTGCGCCGAGACGACGACCATTCGTGCCATGAACCTTGGTACGTCTGTTGTCGAGGATGGATAGCTGGCCTCTGTGGAGCCGTGTCAGATACTTGCTTTTGTTAAAGCCCTGAGACTGTATGATGAGTTATAACTCAAGAAAGGAGAACACACAATAGCTCTGTACGGTCGCGGTGATTAACTCCCATTCTAAACATTCTACAATCTACATTCTATCCCTGCTAATTCCATAATATCATCCTCTCTTCCTCTAGGTCTCTTAATTCCTCGTGGTAAACATTTTTTTGTGGTCCATCTGTTATCCGCTCTTCCTGTCAGGTGTCCTGCTCATGGCCATTTGAGGGATTTGGATCGTAGATTTTTTCTCTTACCTGGGTCTTTTGCCGGTATCCACTTTATTATTTTACGGTCTCTCTTGGTTATCCCCAGTTCCCAACATATTTCGTTCCATTAAGTGTTGTGCTACCTGCAGTTTCCTTATGATGTCCGTTTTAAGTGTCCAATGCATAGGCCATGACTGGTAGTACACATTACTGGAATGTTCTTTAGATAGAGTGGCATTCTAAATAATTATTGCATTATTATTCATATTAATAATACCATTTCAATGAATTATTTAGTATATAAATAAAGAAAAAATCAGGGAGTGAGTGCTTATTAAAAAGCGAGAATTATGTTTCCCTGTAAATTAATTAATTACTTTATATATTTGGAATGTGGTTGAGACTAGTGAAATCTAGTTTCTAGGTAGGATTTTTATTTGAGTATATAATATGTTGCCGAGAAAATTCTTTCTCTTTCGAATTCCTAGTTATTTTATAAATTTTCAAAAACCATTGTCCTCAGGTATTGTTTGAAATAAATTATATATTATAGATATCCTAGATATTTTATAGAATATCGATTTGATAATTTAGTATGACGATATTATAATGAATAATATTTAGATGTGTAAAATCTAATATGGTGCTTATATATAGTCACTATAGTGAAAATATGACATTGATCATGGTGGTCAAAAGATGAAACATCGTATGACAAATTTTAAATATACAGAGTGTCCCAGAAATAAGTGTAAATATTTTAAGGGGTGGTAGATCTGACCCAAAGAAATATATTTTCTCGTTACTATTTTTCAAAATAAATTGATAATAACCGAGTAATTCCAATTTGAAAATCAAAAAAATAATAGGTCTTGAGAGCCGTTGTCAGGAATCGGCAATCAGCAGCAAATTACAATTGCAAGTAATTACCTGGATCTCGACTTGTTCGACGTCCAGTGTTGACATCGACTAGAAAGATTTAAAAACGACTTGGAAAATTCAGAGTAAAACTAAAAAAATTGCCTAACATTAGAAAACAGAACTTATAGATAGCAGGTCGTTGAAATTGGATTAGGGCATCGTTTTATCACTTTACCTAAAACAGCAACTGTACAGGGTGGGTCAAATTCGACGCTTTTAAATGGAAATACCCTTTTCTATAGGAGATAGACAAAAACTAATATCGATGTCTGGAGCTCAATTTTTGTCAAAAACATGAGGGTGAAAACCGCATATCGATATCTGTTACCGTTTCGGAGTTACGGGGTGTTGTTCAAAAATATGCATTTTTAACAAATCGCTGTAACTTTTTTGCTATGGAAAATTCTGTATTTTTATGGAAACATTTCCAAAGCACCTTTTTACGTAGAATTTAATGGTTTAAGTATAATTTTTTTAAAATTAATAATTTAAGAATTATCAACAGAAAATTTGTTTTTTATATGGGACATCCTGTATATTTTTAATTTATTGAAAAGAATTTAAAATTATCTTTCCAAAAATATAACACACTTGATATTTTGCTCGATTCCCCTTCGAGATATAGAGTATATGAAAATTCGCCCACTTTAAATAGGTAGGCCTTTGAACGGCACCGGCTGTAATGCAAAAAAATTCTAGCTGTGAGCGTCAATTAAAACGAAAATAATATTTGCTATGAGAGATGCAGAATTTTATAACAATTTAAAAATATTTAACCAACATCACAATACATTTAAACTATATCTAATAACAATAAAAATAAATAGCAAACCAAGACATGAACATTTCTCGGGGAATTCATTAATTCAGTGGGGGTGAAAGATACCCTCTCATAACTGCTAAGTATTTCTAATTTTTATCTAGATTATACGGAAGAATAAGGAACCTTTATTCTTCCGCAAATATATCCATAGGATTAGATCCATGGGCACTAAGTCAGGCGGCCTCGACGGCCAACGGCTGGGATCTTGGTTAGCTATTCAATTATTCTTGAAATTGGCTGCAAAAATATGCTGATAACTTCAGCGTTCAGAGACGGTGCGTCGTCTTGCTGGAAAAATATGTTTTCAAGTTCCATTAAGGGCATATCATCAATAAGTGGTCCAAAGCCTACTAGTTTAAAGTGGGGAACTTTTAAAAATTCTGTATTTCGAAGGAGATTATAGCAAAATATCAAGTGTGCTATATTTTTGGAAAGGTAATTTTAAATTCCTTTCAGTTAATTAAAAATATAGAGGGTGTCCCAAATAAAAAATCAATTTTTCTGTTGATAACTCTTAAATTATTAATTTTAAAAAAATTATACTTAAACCATTAAATTCTACGTAAAAAGGTGCTTTGGAAATGTTTTCATAGAAATACAAAATTTTCCGTAGTAAAAAAGTTACAGCGATTTGTTAAAAATGCACATTTTTGAAAAAAACCGTAACTCCGAAACGGTAACATATTGATGTGGGGTTTTTACCATCATGTTTTTGATGAAAATTGAGCTCCAGACACCGATATTAGTTTTCTTTTTCTATCTCCTATAGAAAAGGATGTTTCCATTTAAAAGCGTCGAATTTGACTTACCCTGTACACTTAACAACACTTTATTTCATTTCAATTATTTAGGATTATTTTTTAACATCTCTCACTCTCTCATTTTTGTGACTAAACACCAAAAAAAATCATATTTCTATTCGAATAATAAAAGTATTTTTACAGGCTTATCTTACATTTGCCTATTTTTTTAGTTTTGTCAGAGGTTTACTTTTTTGAGTAAAATCTAAAAAATCTAAACTAAGTTCATCAACTAAACAGATCAAAAGAAGTTAAGCGACGTAAGGCGAGACTGGTGTATGGACGGGTGACCGGTTCGAAACTCTGTACCGTGCTGTTGTTCAAGGGAAAAGTATAAAATCTATTGATACACACTGCTCATTCACGCCGGTTCGAGGCCGGATGAGATCGGATATCTCCTGAGTAAGAGTTGATTTAGACACTTCCTAAGTCGGTAGGCCTTTGACCATGATATGGCCGAGGACCGCGGTTCGGATTCCGCGTTTACAAAGTAGGCCCCGTCCAGATTAGCCCTGGCAGCAAAAAGGAGACGTTAACTGAAATCTCTACTTTAAACAGATCAGCTGAGTTATATAAGATGGTCTGTTTCAATTTAGGTCACATGTTGACTATCTACTTATCTAATAGAGGGCGCTGATTTTAATTCGGACACCCTCTAGATATATAATCTAAGAAAGATAATATAATTTAATGTTATACACTACTGGCAAAGGAATATTAGCAATAGGAGGTTTTCAATGCGATAAAAAAAGATGGTAAGGCTGCAAAATACACTGCAGTGCAACAGAGACGGATAAAGTGTCCTTTCCCTACCATCGTATAGGGGAAGTCATAGAAGTGATACGACGAGAGAGCCCCTGCGAGAGGGGGCGCCGGGCGGGTCTTTAAGACGCTTGTGTGGGGGCTACCGCCTACTAATAGAACAGAATCGAAAAAATAGAAACAGGACGGACAGTGTTGCCATTCAATTAAATCGAAATTATGTTGGCTTGTCAAAATCCTAAATCTTCTAATCCCATTATCTTGCCTACTTAATGAAATATTAAATAAAGTACGAAACAATTTTACGAATGTTTTCTCTAGGCACATAACTTCTTTCTAAAACGAAAAGTAACATGCAAAACTTTGATATCATTTCTAAAATAGCAAGTGCAATTCTATGAAATGGCAATACTGTACGATCTTCCTAGCAGTCGCCCCGACACAGTCGGTCGGCGGCGGCGCTTCACAAAGCCGCGGCTGTGACAAAGGAATTAGGCCGAAAAAAACTTTATAAGGAGTAGACGAACAGGGTTGCCGGGTTTGTTAGATTATAATTCCATACGAGAACAAAATTCTCGGTAGATCTTCAACAAAAATTAAAAGTACAGAAACGAAATAAAATATAATATTTAAGTCCAAAATTAGCATTCCTATGTGTCGTAATAATAGATCACTCAAATAAAATACAAATATAATAAATATAACAAGAATTAGAAATAGCTAGGTATATTATTTAATATTAAAAAAAATATTGAATTAAATAATATTAATATATTAATAAAAACATATAAAACTATAACAAGTAGGGATAGCAGTCACAAATTAGTGTAGCAGTCACTTTTTACCTTTGTACAAATTTTGATCAGTGATATCTAAAATTAATTTCATTTCAATGGGAAAGCTGTAGCAACTCTCAACTCATTTTTCATATTAATATATTTTTTGACGGGAAAATCACTAAAATATTTGTCCGAATTTAGGTTGTTTCTTAACTTAAATTTGGTTTTTGTTTACATTTTTGGGGAAAATATGGGTTCAACTTTAGTAGATGAAATAAAATCTTTTCAAAAGATATCAACTTCTTCGGGCATGTCGCCAATACCGCGCCTAATAAGGAGTAATAAGGATTTTAGGAATATCTCTGTAACTCTGCAACTAGACAGAACGATGACCTGTATGTGTGTTATTACTAAATAAAATTTAATGAAACAATAATAAAGTCAGATTATACAGATTCCAACGCGGCAGTCGCTTAATTTTTAGTCAAATAAGTCAGCTTTTTAAAAGTGCTTCTATTGTAAAAACTAAAGACGCAGTTGAATATATCGTTAGATTTTTCTTTAAATCGGTAGATCGGTAGCTTACAGACGAAACCGGTAGACCTGGCAACTCTGTGATGAAATGACGGGAGTCGGAATAGCGAGGTGAGTAGGCGCGGGAAGGGAAATAAAATAATGGCGATAAATAAAGGGCAGGGAGATGGGTATCATGAGTGGATGGGAGGTGGCGGAATTTCCAAAATTTGTTATCTTATTGGAGTTTGTCAAAGTAGACAGTCGTAGTGGAAGTGGAAACGGGGAAGTTGTTGTCCATCTCTGTTTAAGCATAGACTTTTTATACGCGTTTCATTCCAATGCATGTAATTCCTATGCCTAGAGATCCATTGCCGGGCCTGTATATCGTATGACTAGTTTTAAAGAGAACACAAACAAAAAACGTAATATAATATAACATAAACATAATAACAACAATTGAAATTTGACAATATTGGAAAGACCTTTAAATATGTTGTAAATTTAATAAGCTATCCACTCAATAAAGTCCTGATTAAGGCCGACACTCAAATTTTTTGACCAGTAAAAATCTAAAACAAACTACCGTGGCAGAAACATAATATCTGATTTTGAAAAGCCTTTTCTCGGAAAGGGTCTTA